AAATATTACACATTGTGACACAGTCTCACCAGCCTCTTTCACTCAGGCAATATAATTATGCCATTCCCCAACGCACTTATATTTAATACCTTGACAAAAACACAACAAGAAAAATGTAAATCAGGCTTGTAATTACTTATTAACTCAACTCGAACGCAATATTCATCACTGTAAAAGTGGATAAATTCGAACCAGCAAGCTCATGACAGGAGACGTACAGTCGTCTTCGTTGAAAACTCGCCAATTCACCATAATCGTGGTGGTGAACTGTTTAGCTGATTTTTCAAAAGATCTTATGGATATTCAATTCATATTTATCACAACTTGATTGAATATATCCTTTCGGGAATTTGAGACATTGTTCAAACGATCCTGTGCAGGGTTATGTCTGATGTCAACTAATAATACGCAATTATCCAGACAGTACTAGAAACTATTGCTGATACTAATCATGTTTTGTAAGCTGGGAAGTTGGATACTTGAACGTGTGTAGTCCCCGGGCGTGTATTCCATTCAAAAGATTTAGGGACACGGAAAAAAACACGCAGAAATATGTTTTCCTTGTTTATACTCCACACAAAGTAATTTGTCAGTCGTGGCGAGTATGTGTGACAGTTTATTACTTCTGTGTGAATATAATTAAATTATGTAATTTTCGGTATGGTATCACTCTTTTGGGAAGATAATGGTGGCTCTGAAAAGGATAGTTTAGTTTAGTTTCGTTAGAAAACGATATGAATTAACTCCAATCTATGACCCGCGAATGTGTGTGTGTGTGTGGGGGGGGGGGTCGATCTTCTTAGCAGTGAAACTGAAACGGGCACGTGAAAATTACAACTCAACCTCGATTTATTCTTCAATAGCATACATACACAGTGGCAGCGGCAGCGGTCGCCCCACGAAGAAAATGTTGGGGCGTCGCCCCTCCAAAATTAATTGGAAACCCTTTGTGTCAGCAAAATTTCCCCCTAATGCAGGAAATAGCGTTTTAGATTGTCTAGATTTCAAATTTGTGCATGCCCCCGGACCCCCTAGATACTAAATAGCAAATTACTAGTCAACTACAGAATTGGGTTTTGTACACCGTCGGAATAAGTTACTTTGGCCAGTAATATATGGGGGAATTTGACGGAGGAGACATTCACAGCAATCGAATCAAAACAAAATTGAAACTGTGAAACTGCTTTGCGAGCGGAAGTCA